TATTTATTTATTTGAGACAGAGAGAATGAGAGACAGAGAGCATGAGAGGGAGGAGGGTCAGAGGGAGAAGCAGGCTCCCCGCCGAGCAGGGAGCCTGATGCGAGCAGGGAGCCTGATGCGAGCAGGGAGCCTGATGCGGGACTCGATCCCAGGACCCCGGGATCATGACCAGAGCCAAAGGCAGACGCTCAACCATCTGAGCCACCCAGGCGCCCAAGAAAAGGTTTTAGAAATACTTGAAGGTAAAAACTGTAAATGTGGGGTGTCTGGCTGGCTCAGTGGGAAGAGCATGCAACTTTTGATCTCAGGGTCGTGAGTTCGAGCCCCACGTTGGGTGTAGAGATTACTAAAAAAATAAATAAATAAAAACTTAAAAACTACAAGTACAAAAAAAATTGAAAGCATAATCTCTATATATTGTCTGAAGTAGAAAATATATGACATCACAACATAAACTTTCTCTTTTGACAATGAACAAAGCTATTTCAAAATAGTAATTTGACTAGGTATTAACAAAATCATTTCAATTATAGTCTAAGCTGGGCTTAATTAGGTATTTCAGAAATGACGCCCAGGTCCATCATCCAGAAAGATGCCCCTGAAAGTGTCATAAGGGTTATAACAAAATAGAATGATCTAAAATAATTCTTCCCATTATGCTTGGTACTAATAAGTAATAGATTAATAGGGAGGTAGAAGCTTCCCCCAAAATATACATTAATGGTCCTTAAAGTCAATATCAAAGACTAAGATCAGTGGGTTTCCAATTTGAAAAACCTGATGACCACATGATTCCATACCACAGTATTTAAAAGTCCAATTAAAGTAGCTTAACATGCTAACTCAATATTTATGCCTAAATTTTTATTCTGTGATTCAAGGAGCCAGGCAAGGTTTTCCTCTTTTTGCCCCGGTATACAGAAGAGGTAAGGTCTTGATCCAACTCATGTGGTTAGCCAGAGTCAGCCAGCTACCAGAATATGGCCACGAAATGTTCAGTGTAGTGATGGAAATGGGAGAGGGTCCAAGAGCTGAATCCAAACTCTTATATATAGATCCATAAGCACACACAGGCAGACATTTACACACAGACACACAGAGACAGCTCTCAAGGTTCCCTAGCCACAGGACACTGGTCACATTTCAATAATTTTCAAATCCTATCTTCATACCTACTTCAATATTAATGAAAATAAAAGCGTGTAACATCAACAAAATTGTCAACAAAGCCCATAACTAATTAATTTGGACCCCAAAGAAAGAAAAACTAAATTGAAAGTACTATTTTCTAATGCTTGGACAAAAGCTAGAAATTTACTGATTTTAGGTATATTCTTTTTTTTAATTTTTATTTTTTTAAGATTTTACTTATTTATTCCAGAGAGAGAGAGAGAGAGAGCGAGCACGAGCAGGGGAGGGGCAGAGGAAGAGGGAGAAGCAGACTCCCTGCTGAGTAGAGAGCCCAATGGGGGGCTCAATCCCAGGACCCCAGGATCATGACCTGAGGTGAAGGCAGACGCTTAACCAACTGAGCCACCCAGGTGCCCTTTTTAGGTGTATTCTTAATAAAATAAGGAAGGCAGCAGCTTAAAATACTTATGATTTTTTGAAACAAACCTATTTGTAACTTCTTTTTGTAATATTTTCATTTGAGAAATGTTCCAGAAGATGTGTTATTCAAAATACTGAGATTTCATAGGTCTATTGGACGCTATACTCAGGAGAGAGAGAGAGAGAGAGCACACATGAGCGAGCACATGCAAGTGGGGGAGGGGCAGACTCCCCGCTGAGTGAGGTGCCCAATGATGTGGGGCTCATGGGGCTTGATCCCAGGACCCTGGAGATCACGACCTGAGCTGAAACCAAGAGTCAGATGTTCAAACTGAGCCACCCAGGTACCCCTGTGCTGCAGATTCTTGAAATCTAATGCCAATATTTGTAAGCAAATAATTATAGTAAATGTTATGTTATGACACAGAAAAATGCTATGTTCTTTTTATACCCCTGAACAGAAAATATAGAAATTCTTGGGGCACCTGGGTGGCTCAATCGGTTAAGCATCCGCCTTCGGCTCAGGTCATGATCCTGGGGTCCTGGGACCGAGTCCTGCATCGGGCTCCCTGCTCCGCGGGAAGCCTGCTTCTCCCTCTCCCTCTGCCTGCCACCCTGCCTACTTGTGCTCTCTCTCTGTCAAATAAATAAATAATCTTTAAAAAAAAAAGAAAATACAAATTCTTATCTTTTATGATCCACCAAACTGTATTTAAGCACAGTTTCAATAGCTTCTGAAACATAATTTGTTCTAAAAGGTGAAATTTTGGGGTGCCTGGGTGGCTCAGTTGGTTAAGCGACTGCTTTTGGCTCAGGTCATGATCCTGGAGTCCTGGGATTGAGTCCCACATGGGGGG